TTTAATGTATATTCTGTGTTAACTTCCATAAAACAAATTAAAATTTATTCTGAAGTCTTGGGCGGACCTTAAATATTCCATTAAAAAGAAAGCTATCTTGCAAGAGTTACAAGCTACTGGCGGTGGAAAACCTGCCAAGATTAGTCTGTCCCAATATTAGGAGAATATTGCCAGTACTTGGCCAGTCTTTCTTTAAAGGAGTCGGAAGCAAAGAATGTGGGGTATGAGCAGTTGTAGTACATGTGAATAAAGTATACATCACCTTCCAACATATATTTTTAGGTTCAATTGGCAGTTGAAGAGATAAAAAGCAAATTTATTTCTTCAATTAAGGTGTTACGGGTCAGAAATTTATCGTTCCAATATGAACTCAAATAATTAGTTAATAATTAGGATTAGTAAACATTAAATACAAAATGAATCACTTAAATTTGTAAATAGTAGTCAACAAGATTAATAGACTTTTATACTTTTATCCATTTATTAAAATCTAACCTATACATATGTAGTGATATGGTATTAAAACACCCTGTGTTCTAAAATAATGAAATAAATTAATAATAATAATAATAACCATACTAATAATAATGATGATAACAATAATAATAGTAATAAATTAATAACCCTGTATTATGAAAATAATGTAAGAAGTCTTACGAGAAGTAGACTAAGAGAGAAAAAAAATGGTTTCTAGATAAAAAAAAAGTCAGTTTTTTGAAAGTTAATCAATTTTGAAATGTTAAAAAAAATTAATGTCAGAAATTTAAAAGATAGAATTGTACGTTAAAAAAGATAGATAGAAGAATTTAAATAAGCAAACCTGTAAAAAAAAACTTCCTAAAATGTAATAAGAAGTATAAATTACACAAGAAGGTAAAATGTACATATGATGATAGGCAACTGATGAAGGAGTTGATTTGAGTACAAGGACAAATTGGATAGAAGTCGACCAAGACCGTGAGTACGCCGTTTATAAACATTTTAATTGTGCAAGTTTTTTTGACTATTCCTTAAAAAAGGAATAAAAGGTATTCATTATAAGTTTTGTTGAAAATAGACATAATAATAGTTTTAATAATTTTTCATAATTGTTTCAATTGAAAGGCTAATCAAATATGAGTTATTTGATTTTGTAATTTGAACAGAGTTGTACTTCAGTAGGTGTAGTAGGGTAGTATTAGTTATATATAATTTTAAAAGGATATTAGAATATCTAAAATTTGTTAGATTGTTCCATAATGATTTCTGTAAATTAAACAAGTTGATCTTTAGAAAGGTTTGTTTATTTAAACATATAATTTACAAAATACAGGGTACAAAGATTAAATCAACTCATAAGTTTCATTTTTTGTTATATTGTTGATTTTGATAAAATAAAATTAAAATAAAATTAAAATAAAATTAAAATAAAATTAAAATAAAATTAAAATAAAATTAAAATTAAAATTAAAATTAAAATTAAAATTAAAATTAAAATTAAAATTAAAATTAAAATTAAAATTAAAATTAAAATTAAAATTAAAATTAAAATTAAAATTAAAATTAAAATTAAAATTAAAATTAAAATTAAAATTAAAATTAAAATTAAAATTAAAATTAAAATTAAAATTAAAATTAAAATTAAAATTAAAATTAAAATTAAAATTAAAATTAAAATTAAAATTAAAATTAAAATTAAAATTAAAATTAAAATTAAAATTAAAATTAAAATTAAAATTAAAATTAAAATTAAAATTAAAATTAAAATTAAAATTAAAATTAAAATTAAAATTAAAATTAAAATTAAAATTAAAATTAAAATTAAAATTAAAATTAAAATTAAAATTAAAATTAAAATTAAAATTAAAATTAAAATTAAAATTAAAATTAAAATTAAAATTAAAATTAAAATTAAAATTAAAATTAAAATTAAAATTAAAATTAAAATTAAAATTAAAATTAAAATTAAAATTAAAATTAAAATTAAAATTAAAATTAAAATTAAAATTAAAATTAAAATTAAAATTAAAATTAAAATTAAAATTAAAATTAAAATTAAAATTAAAATTAAAATTAAAATTAAAATTAAAATTAAAATTAAAATTAAAATTAAAATTAAAATTAAAATTAAAATTAAAATTAAAATTAAAATTAAAATTAAAATTAAAATTAAAATTAAAATTAAAATTAAAATTAAAATTAAAATTAAAATTAAAATTAAAATTAAAATTAAAATTAAAATTAAAATTAAAATTAAAATTAAAATTAAAATTAAAATTAAAATTAAAATTAAAATTAAAATTAAAATTAAAATTAAAATTAAAATTAAAATTAAAATTAAAATTAAAATTAAAATTAAAATTAAAATTAAAATTAAAATTAAAATTAAAATTAAAATTAAAATAAAATTAAAATAAAATTAAAATAAAATTAAAATAAAATTAAAATAAAATTAAAATAAAATTAAAATAAAATTAAAATAAAATTAAAATAAAATTAAAATAAAATTAAAATAAAATTAAAATAAAATTAAAATAAAATTAAAATAAAATTAAAATAAAATTAAAATAAAATTAAAATAAAATTAAAATAAAATTAAAATAAAATTAAAATAAAATTAAAATAAAATTAAAATAAAATTAAAATAGAAGTAAAATAAAATTAAATTAAAATCAAAACTAAAATTGAAATAAATTAAATTAAATTAACTTAAATAAATTAAAATTAAAAAAATATTAATATCGTAACTTGAAACACCCCTGAGATAAGAGCATTTTTGAGTCAAATTAAAAGATAAAGTGGGAAGCCGAGGTAAATTAATATTATAATTTAAATTAAAATAAAAATAAAAAAAAGGTATTTGTGAGATATCATAACAGTAGATTGTTTATTTATATGCTAATGTCAAATCTTGACCATGACCTTGTAATAATTCTTCTCTTCTTCATTCTAGTGTAATTTAATTAATTGGGTCAATAATTAAGCTGTTTATTGACAGTTTAGCCTTATTAATCAGGTACATGTTTCTTCTTGGTGTCTGAGGTTTTATCTCTCTCTCTGGGTTCTCTGTCATTTCCATTTTGGTTGGTTTTTGGGTCATGTGGTATGTTTTATATTTAACGAATATTTTCGGATTTTTTAGAACTCCTAAAAGGGAGTTCCATCAAAATTACTTATAAGTATTGCTTGTAATATCAAGAAGATTTGTATTTCACGCATAGTGGATTTGCGATACTTAAAAAGAAAAGGCCCCACCTTACTCGGTAAGTCACCCAGGCCAAATTTAAATTGCATGCACCTCTATCTGGCTTTATTTATGCTTCTAGGCCCATTAGTTATAGTTACGATACTATTCTGCATTAGCATTACCATCATCTTCGACAGCTTTTATCAGCTAGACAAGGCCTATTATAGTTACAATACTATTCTGCATTACCATTATCATACTATCACCTTCGACTGCTTTTGTCTGCTAGACAGGGTACTCCTGAGCTTATTACTTCCGCTTATTGTCTGATCTTGGGCTTGCGAATGTTACAGCGCTGTCTGCTGCCTCCATCGATACATCTAGGAGACTTCGAGAACACAAGTAAGATCTCTCCATTTTTCTACCTACATGTAACTAACCTGCTATATTTGGAAGGCCACACTCACCCTAAAACGGAAACGATTTAAGGGTTAATTATTAAATCATACATATATAGAGATTAGATTAGTTCATACAAAGATATTTTTTAAAAGAACTGCATAATAATTTCATAGAATTAAAATAAAAGAATAACTTACTCATCTACTCGTTGTAAACAAGTAGTACTATTTGGGCCTGAGGGGTAAGAATCTTGTAAATGCATGTAGATAAATTGTACATATAGTGTTAATTTCTTGTCTTTATAAACTGCCATATAGTCAGCAAATTTGGGAACACTTTGTATATAGACACACTCTATTTCTGTAACGTAAAACAACCATTATTTGAGCAATTGAGTAAAAACACCAGTAATTAGAGTTTACCTGATTTATTTTCCACGTCCCAACTCTCCAGATGAAATTTATAAACCTGAGCTAGCTATTATGTAATTTCGCCCCCTATCATTTCAGGGAGCAATGTAATAGAGGAAACACCTCATAAAAAATTAAAAATAGATGTAGGTATCTTACATGAATGCATTATATTATTTAATCAGGTTCTTTACAGAGATTTTAATGGTTTTTACCTATTTTTCAGGTTTCACAACTCAAATTTGTTAAGGTTTTTTTCAACTCCAACCATGGATTACAAAAAAAAAACGTAATTCAACTATTACATATTTTTTGAGTTCCAGATTGCTAACTAAATGTTCTTTCTTCTCAGGCCCCACGTCTTGTAGATTTTGATGATGGCAGTAGAAATTACACTATAATTTTAGGAGAACCTTCTACTTCCAAACATAATACAATAGATGTATGTACTTTTATTACAAATCCATAAAATTAAATACTATTGTTTGATAAAGATTTCTTCATAAATTTTTTTTTTCAGTTTTCACATGCTACACGCGAGGATCACGATTATACACAAAAAAAAGAATGGCAACACAAAATGATAAAGAAAATGAAATGTATAAAGAAACGATTAAGGAACTAAAAATTATAAGACAAGAGCTTGGAGACACAAATAAAAACTTGAGTAATATAAATAATAATCTACAAGAATTAAAGAATATTTTTTTGGAGAAGTTTTCATAAACAGTATAATATGTTACACTTAGTTTAATTTTTTGATTTTGAAAAAAGAAATGTTTAGTATAATAATTTTTGTATATATAATGAACCTTAAAACATTTTATAATTTTAATTACATTACAAATTAACGGAAGAATTTAAATCTAGTTACTGATTTTAGAATGTTTATTTGAAACTTTTTACTGCTTTTTAATATGTGCAATATAGTTAGGTAGAGGTATTAGTTTATTCATGTTTTATATTTTTTTTATTTCCATTATGTGCAATTGAATTCGCTTGGTTACAAGAACTGTGAAAAAATGGCAAAGGGTAAGCTTTATTACAGACTTTTAATGTATATTCTGTGTTAATTTCCATAAAATAAATTAAAATTTATTCTGTAGTCTTGGGCAGGCCTTAAATATTCCATTAAAAAGAGTTACAAACTACTGGAGGTGGAAAACCTGCCAACATTAATTTGTCCCAATATGAGGAGAGATATACTCTCTCCACTGCTTAGTGGTAAAGCTCTACGAATATTAATTCCATTTGCAACATCCTCTTTGTGCGATGCTGGGTTTTTGGCGGTCGCGGTAACAAAAAGGAAATTAACGTTGAATGAGGATCGCCATATACAATTTCATTCGGAGATTTGAGAAGTTGTGTAGTGAACATCAAGCCCATCCATCCCATTAATAAGTTTAATAATGTTAATCGTCAATGGACCTTCAATAAATTGTTTGTAAATTCAAAATTCGTGTTTATTTTTTAGCTAACCTAACCACATGGTGGTTGTCCAGTCTCAACATGGATATTACCGAAACAGTTGAAATTAGATATTTTACAGTATCCCAAGGAAAATAGTAAGTATCTGTTTTTAGTTTTTCGCTGTTAAATGGGCAATCGTTTTTAAAAAGGAAAGTTTTCCAATTTTTGAAGAAAGTCAAAAATTTTAAAAACAATTTGATGTATTAAATGCGCCGCGGAAAAAAACCGATTATTTAGGGAGCTGCAAACCGAAAACGATTAGGAACCTCTGGACTCGACATTAAGTCTCTCTAGTAAGGATCACCTAGTATCTAGTACCAGACATAATTTAGTGCTGCTGGTAGAGCATATAACGACTTGCATTATACAGCACATACTGCGTCTCATCTGAAGTACCCATAACCTGTTAAATATTGGATCGGTGGTTGGAACTCATCTTTCTTTATGTAGCAGTGCTTGGACTGATCATATCACTATAAATACTAGGACCAACCGATATCACCTCACTCACATAACAAGTAAAGCGCGCATTACATCTGACAATTTCTTCATAAATTTATTCACGAAAACACTGAAGAATAAATTCAAGAATTTCTTCACGATAAATGGTTTTAAATTTGTGAATAAATTCATGAAGTTTTGTGTCATATATGCCAGTTTAACAGGTGTACCTACACACACCCTACACAACCGAAAAGAGGTAAATAATTGAGGTTAAGTGTTAAAAATAAACGTTTATTCTTCTTTAGTTTTGGCCCTTGTTAGTTATAAGAGATTGTTTTGTTGCGTGTTAAAAGAGCTTTTTCGTTAAAATGTTAAGCATTAAAAGTTATAATATTAGAAAAAAAAAGAGCTGCTGCCGCAGCTATGGTACTTGTAGCACGCCCTTTAATGTTAAGAAAAAAGACTGTAAAACGGAGATGGTGAATAAGACCTTGGTTAATTAACAAGTATTAGAAATTAAAAATTTAAAAAAACCGACTTCAAAAACGTGCAGATGCCGTCACCACATCTTATCCAATTTTACATGGGACCACCCTTGAGGTACCCCCTTACTAACAAAAAAAAATCAGAAATCGGACAAGATGGTAAAGCATTATCGCTAAACATACATAAAAAATGAAGAGTTTGAGGATTTTCCCATGGATCCAGTCAATAGATTTTAACCAAATTTATATGGGACCACCCCTAAAGTACCCCCTTTCTAACAAAAAAAGAATTATTGAAATCGGACAAGATGGGAAAGCATTATCGCTAAACATACATAAAAAATGAAGAGTTTGAGGATTTTCCCATGGATCCAATTATTAGATTTTAACCAAATTTATATGGGACCACCCCCGAAGTACCCCCTTTCTAACAAAAAAAGAATCATTGAAATCGGACACTGTGTTAAAGAATAATCGCTGAACATACATAAAAAAAAATATCGCGACGAATTGATAACCTCCTCCTTTTTTGAAGTCGGTTAATAAAAATGAAGGAGGTTTAAAACTTGCGAAGTTTGACTTTAAGAAGGATATTGAGCAGTTCAAACGGTTTTTGAGAATGTCCAATTAATGGAACCCTATTTAAAAAAAGAAAGTACATGCTTTAGGGATTAAGCATTAAGATTTCTTGCAACAGGGAATCATATAGAAGCCTAATGCATACGTTTAGGGTATCTGAGTTCACCATATCTCTGTTCGTTCCTTTAGTTTGCAGAGTTATTTATGATGTTTTAAAGGATCAATATTTAAAGGTAAGAAAAACACAAGTTCTCTTTGAAATTAAAGTTTACATACTTAGTATACTGTATACATTCGTAACTCTTTACTATTTTTTAGACTCCAAATACTGGAGTGGATAAATGTTTCAAAAGGTTTTGAAGAATTATAGAATATTCCAAAGGTATTAGGTGCCTTAGATGGAAAACATATTTCACTTAGACCTAAAAGAAGTGAGGGATCAGTCTACTTCAATTATAAGGGTTATTGCAGTATTGTTCTTTTGGCACTTGTCGATGCTAAGTACAATTTTATTTATGTTGATGTAGGTGCAAATGGTCAAGTCAGATGGAGGTGTTTATAAACAGTCTTTATTGGCCAGAGCTGTACATAATAATTCACTTAACCTACCTGAAGATTAACTTTTATCAGGTCAAGACAAATCTATTCGTCACCTATTTTTAATTGATGCTGCCTTTCCTTTATCAGAACATATTTTAAAGCCATATCCGTTTAGAAATATTACTAAAGAACAAAGGATATTTAATTACAGGTTAAACAGAGGAAGAAGAGTTGTGGAGAATGCATTTGGAATTTTAGCAAATCGCTTCAGGATATTTTTGAGCACAATAAATTTAAAATATCCAGAGAAAATAAAATATATAACCCTTGCCAGTTGTGCATTGCATAATTTTTTAAAAAGTGAAAATACAAATTTGCTCCTAAACAATGATAAAGAGAATAAATATGTATTTTAACATGCCCTGCCTCCACAAAAGGGTAATAAATCAAAAAATGCATTTTTGAAGGTCAGAGGCGAATATAAAGCATACTTTATGAAGGAAGGAGCCGTTCCCTGGCAATGCGATGCATATGACCAACTATATAACAATTTTGTAAAATTTTAATAAAAAAGAAAAAAGAGAAGTCTATTAATTTAGAATATCTGAATCCAAAATTTAATTTGATTATGAATGAAGGTATTGTACCTTGTAAAAATTACAATTTTCTTTTCAAAAGTATACTTTGATTAACAATTTTGAATATTTTAATTTATTTATAGTACAGTACTCTGCAGGTCATAAGGAATTGACAGAATATAATGAATCCATCACATATTTTTTTAAATAAAAATTAGGCACATAAAAAAACTTGTAATAGGTAACAAAATAATTAAGATAGAAAATGGGAAAAAAAGTATAGAAATATTAGTCCTTTAAACAATACAAAATTATTAAAATTAAATACCGTTCTTCATAAATTTAAAGAAGAACGTTAAAAGAATACTGTTTATCTATTTTTTATTCTAGCCCAAAAACATATAGAAGAATAGCAACTAACTTTCAGTTCCCATTAGTTTCAACTTTACATCGGATGACACAAAAAATTAAATTAGGTCCAGGTCTGAATAACTTTATATTTAAAAATTTGGAAACAAAAATGGAAGGAAAAAGTAATTTAGAAAGGTACAAAGATTTTTGTAAATTAAGATTTTTAAAACTATTTTCTGAATATTTACATTTCAATCATATTATTTAAGCAGTTGCTTAACCTCAATATATATATTTTTTTATTACAGAATGTGTGTTTTGGCTATGGATGAAGTCTCACTCAAGACACATTTATACTATGATGTTGGAACAGATGAAATTATTGGTTTGCAAAATTTAGGTTGGAAATTTCTAAATTTGAAATTAAATATTTTGTTTCTTAAAATTATTTATTATTTAATACCACAAGTTATTTTATAGGATATGGAAATGACCACGTAGCAGCACAAAATGGAATGGTTTTGATGGCAAGAGGAATTGATGACAAATGGAAACAAAATCTAGGCAATTTTTTTATACATTCTAATATTACTATCAAAGGCTTAAAGAAAATTATTGAAGATTGTGTCCAAAAACCGAATAAGGCTGGATTATATGTCCGAGTTCTTACCTCAATTCTTGGAACAAATTTCAATAAATTTTCCAAAATGTTGGGAGTAACTATAAATAAACCTTATTTTCAGATACAAAACATGAAAATTTATTATATATTTGACGTGCCTCATTTAATTAAAATTATGAGGAATATTATATTGGAAAACACCGTAGAATTTGAAGATATGGAAGCAATATGGAAATTTGTAGAAAAACTATTTGAATTGGAAAAATAACACAATCTTAGAATGGTACCGAAGTTGATACAAATTCACATAAAATCAAATAATTTTCAAAGGATGAAAGTAAAATATGCAACCCAAGTCCTAAGTGCAACAGTAGGAGCAGGTTAAGTATTAATACTATAAAAACACCATTTCTTTTTTGTGGAGGTCTGCATATTTTGTGCCTACGAAAAATATCTATCTTTAGTTTCATTTCATTTTTAGCTATCTTAACTTGTATAAGTAAGGAACTTATCGAAGGAAAGGCATCTGGAACAGTGAATTTTATAGAAAAAATGGATCGGCTTTCGATATGCTAAACTCAAGTGGAACTGGGACAAAAAATCAACATAAAAAACCATACACAGGCAAAAAGGAACAGAAGGATTTTTTGTTGGATATGTTAGAAAGCATAAAAAAGATGAAAGTGTATCGAATTTCACAGTCAGGTAAGGTGGATATAATTAATAGATTCAACGGTCCTTGCTTTCACGTTACAATTAGAAGTGTAATGGGATCATTTGAGGATTTGACTAAAGAAGGAATGAAACATCTGAAGACAATAGGATTGAATCAAGATTGTTTGGAAAACTTTTTTAGGAAAATTAGGCAACAACAGGGCAATGCAGTGAATCCAACCCCGGTGCAGTTCAAGAGTGAATTTAAGAAATTGATTTTCTGGATACGCTTGGTACTTTTAATTGTGAAGAAGATGCTGATGAAACTTTATTATATAGATTAAATGACACTGAACTGATACAAAATCCAGTTATGAAGTGCCCCTTTCAGGTTTCAGGTAAAAATGATGTGTTTTGTATATAATAGTCCTATATTATTAAAATAATTTTACAGATTTAAAATGATGAATTCAGAAAAGATGCCATAGAAGAAAAATTTATGAAAAAAAAATGTAGAAACTTATATTGCAGGATACATTATACAGAAATGCATCAAGAAACATGATTGTCCCTGTTGTCAGGATCACAGTAGACTGGGAAATATGGATGGAATGGATGAAAATATACTTTTTACATATTTTAAAGGTTTAAAAGTTCCTATAGAATATAAGCTTCTATTTTAAAAATTCAATATTATTTATAGGTGATACAGATAAGTATGGACAGAGTGTACATTTACATGGTAAGTTAAGGATGCCTGCCAGAAATTTTTTGTGCATTAACATTATTTATTAGGTTTGTCTCGACTTCTTTCAACATCAAATTTATTGTGAGGTGGCTTTAGTTTGCAAATATTTTTTTTTGTATTAGAAAGCTAATTATGTATTTATGAATTTGAGTATGGAATTAACTAGATAATTTTAACAACGTTTTAAAAACGAGTATTATAATTAATTAGGTTTCAGATTATTTGACGAGTGAGCCCTCTCTTTTCATCAGATCCCTGGGATCTTGTTGAAGGGAAGGGTTAAATCAGAACACCATAACTTATGTTTAACCGTAGGATGAGAATATATTATGTAGTAAAATTTGCCAATAATAAATTGAAAGAAGATAAAATATTTACGCGACAAGCAAAGAAGGACAGGAAGTTAACACATTTACTGCATCTACTGCCAAGCAAATGTGGAATAAAGTAGAAAATATGTTAAATTTGATGTCTGGCACAAAAAAAATTGGCGACAATGGCGAAAAATAAGTATACTACCTGCATATCAATTATAATCATATTTAACTGATAAACAAAATTTATTTTAGTCATGGCATAACATGGAAACTAAAGCCAAATCTAAAAATGCTAGAATAAAAAATTATCGTGGAGGAGCTCCACTGAGAGATATTTTAACTAGCTGGGAGGAAAGCATTGTAAATTCGATTGGCCCAACTACCAGCGTGGGACATCCAGAGATAAAGGAGTCATTGATTACATCAGTAAGTATGACACTGATGTGTAATTATCTTTATCGACACCTCCAGCTTGTACACAATAATAGAGATACCATGCCTAAATTTTAATTTCATTTGCAACATACTTTTTTATAGGATTTGGATAAGGAGAAAGACCTTCAAGAAAATTTAATTGAAGTAAATTAAATTAACATGTGTAAACATCAACTTGCATGCAAGTTTTATTTTTGCTTGCATAAACCAAAAAGTCTGCATCCTTCTGAAATTACTGGCGTCAGTGTTGAAAAATTCCTATCGAAATTCAAAACTTGCAAGTGTAAACAAGTGCTTGCACGTCGGACGTCAGCATCTACTCAACAGTTTTAGTTTGGTTTCGGGTTTTGTTGATCGTGATTGTAGTTTATCTAGTTTATTATGGCTGAAAAAGTGGTCAGCAGAACTAACAATCAAATTTCTTGAAGGGTATGAATCTTACCCGTGTTTATGGGATGTGCATAGCAGTTCTTATAAAAACAAAGATGGTCATGAAAACGCTCATCAAAAACTTTCCGAATTAATGGATATTGAAGGCTTTGGAATTGCTGAAGTAAAAACAAAAATAAGTTCTATAAGAAATGCGTATGCCTTGGAATTAACAAAAATTAAGAAGAGCCAACATTCTGGAGCAGGTGCGAATGTAGTGTATAAACCCAAACTTTTATGGTTTTCAGTAGCGGGCAGAATTTTTAAACAGGTTGTGCAAATAAGAGAAACTCAGGCAACACAAATTAATGTTTTATTTACATTCTATTGATTATATATTTATCATTTTCATTTGCCAAGGGACATCTCCATTGCCCATAAACCAATATGCAGCTTTTTTAGAATAATTGCGGCTGTCAGCGGCTGATCTTAAATCTCTGAGTCCTTGACTTTGAATTTCTTGTCTCCAGGTACCTCCTATTATTGTACCATTTTCAAAATCTTCATCGTCTACACTGTGTCGGGTTATATATCCATCAGATGTTTTACGCAACCAGTTATGTAACGCACAAGCGGTTTTAACAAGAATGTCAGCTTTTTCGGGCGATAACGCAATTGGTTTTTCAAATAAACGAAACTGGGGCACAAGCAATCCAAATTCAATTTCTACGATACGCCGAGCACGCGAAAGTCTTTAATTAAATTTTTTTTCTTTTTGTGTTAGGGGATCATGGTGTGAATAAAGTTTTAGGAAATATTCTTTAAGGGGAAAAGCATTATTTCATAAATTACAAACGTTCGACATTTATCTTTCTTTTGTATATTATTATGTATTTGCTTAACTTAGTAGTCTTTTAACACATCATATTTGGCATGGCAAACTACTGGGATAAAATTTGAAATTGTACATTTTGAGACACGATACAAATATTGCAATGAAGCGAAAGAGTCTCCTGTTGCAAGATACCTTAATGTCACTTCCAGTTTTAATCGTGGTGTTAACGCATCTCTCATGTGGGTATCCATTTTTATAATACGTGGCGTCACACAATCCAGAAGAGTATCAAAATGTTGCTTTGATATTCAAAGATAGTTTTTTACAGCTTGCAGGATCCTCTGCTGCGAGTTCTCCTAGAAGTTTTGTAGAAGCACCCAAATTAGGTAGACGACCAATCCATGGTTTAACCCAAACACGGCCTTTTCGTTGGTTGCGTTTCTTTTTCCTTTTATCTTTTTTTCTATTACAAGTTTAGCGACTATTTTACAGGTTTCAGAAAGTTCACTCGACATAGTGCTTACCGTGAAAAACACTTTAAAAATGAAAATGGCGTGCCAGTTACGTTGGTTTTTGAACAATGTGTAAACCTTTAGGCTAGCCGCACATTGAGAGCAGCCGAGCAGAGGAAGCCTTTTGTAACGTACATGAACAAACGCAGTGCCGCATATTGCACGTAGTAACTTGTAAGGACTAGACGGAGGAAAAATTTTCCTCTGCCTGTGCTGCGTTCTCTGTGAAATGAACACAGTTTTTTTCGGGACTGCGGCCTGACTGCACGCGAAGATTACACCAAAATATATAGAAATTTTAGAAACAAAATCAGCAAAATGGAGTTGTTAATTGAAAGTGTGAGGGAAAATAGGGTCTTGTACGACACTAGCCACCAAGATTATATGAGAACGAAATATAAGGATGAGATTTAGGCCCGAATTGCCACAGAACTTAATTATTCAAATGGTAAGTGGTAGATACTTTTGTATTACTATTTATCTATTAAAAATAAAATAACGAGTGACCTCAAGGTTCAAAGCTGAAGTAAAATGGGGATGTACAACGTGCTCCTTTAAGATATTCTTTATTTAAATAAGTAATTTGTGATAGCAACAAAATCTTTATAATTAATTAGTAATGACCACGTTGGACTGAATGTTGTTGCCATGACAGAGTTCCAGATGGAGAGCTGAAGCAGCCTCTGTATTTATCTCTGACTAAATATGCCTCGTTTGCACTTCGTATTCTGTTGGGCCGTATGCGAAGTAACTGCGAATCTAAGAGCTGCGTATCATTGTCTTCTTCGAAAATATAATTTGCATTCCCGCAGAGAAAATTATGAAGTACACATGTGGCTTTGACAATATCATCCACGGTTTCCAATTTGCATTCAAAAGGTCTTCGATACACTCGAAACCTGGCTGTCAGTATTCCAAAGGCGCATTCCACAGTTTGTCGAGCTCGAAATAATCTACGATTAATTATGTCAGTAAACAGGAAACCCGGTTAAAATTAAAATTGTACCTATAGTTAAACACTTTATTTCTATAATTGTTGGTAACCTGAGCTTTTGGAAATGGATGCATAAGATTAGATTTCAAAGGGAAAGCTTCATCCCCTAAAAATGCATATGGTGTATTGTCTTCTTGGCCAGGTAAAGGCCTGGGAACTGGTAATTCCAAGGTACAATTGTTTATTTTTATTCCTAAATTACTGTTGCTAAATATATTCACATCACTAAATCGACCCACTGAACCTACATCAATAGTAGTGAACCGATAGTTTGCATCTACAGTGGCCATTAGGACGATTGAGCAGTACTGCTTGTAATTAAAAAACGAAGATCCGCTTTGACCTGGTTTTTTAATTGTTATATTTTTACCGTCTATTGCACCTAGGCAATTAATTTTCTTTCAAATTCTGCTGCGATTGTCACCCAAGTATTCGTTGTGGGATTCGGCATGTATTGCGGTTGTAAGCATTCCCAAAGTACTTTACAAACTTCTTTAACTATTTTTGATACAGTCCTTTCCCCTAGCCTATAAGAAAATCCAATGGTTCTGAATGTATCTCCTGTGGCCAAATACCTAAAAAAAATTGTGTACCTAAGTAAATGATTACTAACAGATATGATTCACTTTTTTTTAGGACAGGAAGTGAAAGAAATTTGGAGAAAACTAAGAGATTGCCATCGCGATGCATTGCGACGACAAGGAAAGAGAAAGAGCGGAGACGCTGCAAAGGCAATAAAGTTATGGACTTACCAGGTAGATGGAATTTCTTCTTCCATTTATGGCTAATAGAAACACAACAGGAAACGTTGACATTTCGCAGGATGAGAGAAGCAATACTATTGAAGTTAACTTGGTTTCGCCTGCATCGCAAGACTTTACTGAAGGAGCGAACGAAAACACACAAGATGACGAAGTGGACCAGGCGGAAGAACCACAATACATTCAACGTTCTAGAGGCAATACAGTCGCTACTCCTGATACACCAAATATAGGTGCCAAAAAACGAAAAATTGATATTATGTTGTTTTATGACTTAGATATTCACAATATGCCAGTCTCAGTTATTTGATTTTTATTAATATGTGTTTTGTGTAGGCTTTGTTACTGTTTCCCTGTTATAAAATTATTTAGTTTTCGAAAAATACATTGGAAAACTTTTCGTTTTTTATCCTTTTTGAGTATTATCGAAGAGATTAAAACCTATTATAGCGTACAGAAGAATGTAATAATAATTCCGACATATCGAACGACACCCAATAAACAAACCTAACACCTTTAAATGACAAAAGTTTGGTGACAACACCAATTTGATGGACTGTCTTTGTGTATTTCCTACCCATATCTATAATTTATTGCTTATGGGCTAGCTAATTACGTTTAATGAGGTAAGGCTTTCGTGTAGCTGTAGTGATTTACGAATAAATTACCCCCTATTTTTGTTAGGTTACAAGTACAGATACATAGAGAAACCTTCACTTAAGGCACCCATTAATTAGTCCTAAGGTATTATTAAAACTGTTGGAACGAGCTCGTCGACACGTCAAACGAATCCTAGGTAAAAATGTGCCTCATAGTAGCTACCTGCAGGTAAAAGTGATCAATTTTGCTAGCATTTTATCTAAGTATGGACATTTTTGCTCTAGCGGGTGTGTATCTGTGAAATCTTAAAGAAAGTGCCGATTATGGAGTGTAGAAGAAGATCGTATGTAGTATGATGAGGCTTCGAATTTACGATATCTGATATTTACATTAAAGGAGATTGTATGAAATGGCGAAATGCTTATTGGACAAGCCTTTTTACACACTACAACGTTGTGACGGAGACGTATTCAAAACGTTAAAACAGTTTATTCGAATAAATACACCGTAAACTTGGACTGTTCGGTGCAAAGCAGCTTAATTGATGGGTGCGTAATGATTTGCATGTCATTTTTTTGTTTCTATAATGTGTTAACTTATGTATTTTTCATAAATAAACATTTCTCGACCGACTATTCTTCATTTATTTAGCCAAATTCAACACCTTGGAAAATCATACAATACGAAGCAAAGAAAGGGACGAAGAACGAAAACGTATATCATCATTACTTGAAAAAAATCGGGTAATGAGAAAGAAGATGGTTTATACCAGTTTTTTATGGCAATGTACAATGATACCAAGAAAATGTCAAAAATATCTCAATTTCGAATTAGAAGGAAAATTTTTGAGGCTGTCCAGCTTGAAGAAGAAACAAATTTGGCGTTGAATTTTTCCCAAACAAGTAGCGCGTCATTGCACCCACCACAACATCAAATAGGATTACCGTTACCTAGCCCTTCATCACATGGTAGTTCCACATACGAACAATTATCAACAGCGCAGTCACCCCCACAACTAAATTACGAACCACTTCGTCCATCTTCAGAACAATTTTATGACATACAAGCAACTTTCAAAGAAGTATCTTTTCAAAACTACTTTGAACATTTTAGATATAATCAAAATAGTTCATTTTTGTATAATCAAAAGAGAAAATTTTTGTATAAGTGTTCATACCCCTCAAACATACTGCAAGTTTAGTTTCAGTTTCGTTAGGCTGTTGTGCGTTACAACCTATTCCTTGTATTTTAGTTTTAATTATGTTATGTAGTTCTCGAAACTGTTCTTTAGTAACTCTGAAATACATTTTCATTTGATTATCATCAAGTTCAGTTATTAAATTGAATTCCCCATGAGTGCTTCTTTTCCTCAAATAATCGTTCTTCCATACTGATTTTTTATGCCTTTTGGACAAACTATATAAAAAGACAATATTTTCTATTTCCGAATCTGATTCCGAATCCAAAAGTAAGTTTAACTGAGCGGCTGGATCCATATTTTTTAAAAAAACTATAACGGAAACAGGAAAAATTAACTACCTACGTTCAATATGCGGATATAGCTTTGGCAGAGCACAGGAATAGTTTTCCTCTGTAGTTCCTCCGCTGTGCTAGGTTACGCTGCCCTCAATGTGCGGCTAGCCTAAATCCATGCATGCGTAAACTCACCTTTAGTAAAACATCGCTCATAACTGAAAACAACGGAACGGGCTTTGAAATTTGCTTTTATGTACCATGGCACCAGAGGCTATTTTAGACAGAGATTTTTTTCTCATATGGGCATCGAAATTCATACCGATCACACCGAAACAAACAAAACTATTTTTAGGTGAAAGTTTAAATTTAACGCCATATTTCAGTCTCTTCTGATTTGGTAAATACCTCTTTGATTGAAGATGACTTACAAAATCTACATTCATATTTGTTATCGTGGATGCATTCTCACGATATGTTAAGATTTATCTTCTTAAACGGGCTACAACCAAGGCATGTCTAAACAGGTTATTAAATGAATATATAGAAACAGTTTAGACACCTCGTTGTATCCTAAACGTGTAACGGTTAAATCAGTTTTCGTTATTTGACCCAGACCCGTTCTCGTTATTTTGAAACCAACATCTCTACACAATATTATAACTAGCATTTTATTCTGCTATTACCTACACGATCAAGTAGTACAGCCTGTAGTCAATTGTTTCCTTTACACCAATGGAATATTTATTGTCAGGCCAGAATATTATAACTAGCTTTTTATTCTCCTATTACCTACTCGACCAAGTTATACAGTCTGTAGTCAATTGTTTCCTTTTACACCATCGGAATATTTATGAGTCAGACCAGACATTACCTTCTAACTTTTAATTGTCTGCTACTGCTTATTTTTTTTTAAAGCAATACTGTCTGTAACAGCTACCTTAAATTTTAGTAATATATATTAGATTTTTTCCTTTTTTCTTGATTGGTAGTAAATTTATATTTTGTTATTAAATTTGAGTAATATTTTAATTTGTTTACCTTTCCCTTAAATTCAATCTTAAAATACCTTAGTTGACTTTGAACTATATTATCTACCATTTCATGTTTTTTCTTTATATGGTTAAGTACCTCACTATCGCATAACTATTTGATTCCGAACTAAGTTTAAATTATATTTTAATACAAGTAGTAAAAGTTTGTATATATTTATTCTTTTTTCAATTATAATTTGAGAATTTATGCTTTTAGCAATATCTTTTGATACCTCTGTTTTCATTTTATATTGAAAATAATTTAGTTGAGTATTGCAAAATTTCATATTTGGGTTAACTTTAGGTTAACAGATAACTTGCATTACTTTAATTTTTTTTACCTAACTTTACTACTTTGTATATACCTTTGCTGATTTACAGCATTACGAAGATGTTTCGTATCCCTTGCCTGATGTACTCACTGATGTGTGTACATTATTTATTTTGATTTTCATAATTTATCTTGTATAATATTATTATATATCTTTATTCACAGTTGAGTGAATGTTTTATTTAACGTTTAATAATATTATTTTTACCTTTAGTACATAATGTACTTTGTTTTTTGAATATCAAGATATTTACCTTTGATTTGAAATGGTTAACCTTCACTTAGTTATCATAATATATGCAATTATAGTTCAATGATCATTCTTTCTAGTTACCTTACCTACCTTTATTTACCTTCATTTACCTTTATCGTATCTTTCCCTGATTGAGACTTTTGTACGGTATAAGAGTACAGATTTAAATTTAGAATCCATTTTTCATTTTAATCAAAATTTTCTTAAACAAGCACTTAAAAGCTAAAGTAGTAAATCTTCTTAGTTTAAGTTGTAAATCTTTAGTCTTTAAGGGCTACAGTAAAAATTTCAATTGTTTTCTAAACATTTTTTTTTTTAATTATTAAGTCGTAGTTGTAAGTTTATCAACCTCTTCCTATTTTGGAAGTTTCACTAAATACCAAAATATGTGTCTAAAGTCCCTTATTTTATGTACCTTAAAAATGTTCAGTTTATTTTTCTCTTTTTTGTTACACTTAGTAATATCTGAGTATTTGCTATTTTCTACCTTACCTTTATCTTATGTATGTATGGTTTATACCAGTACAATTTTTTCAGTTTAATGATTTAACTTTAATTTGAGCTTTATCTTACCGATGCATGATTGCCATTTTATGTGGTTCAAGTTCGAATATGAACAAACATGCATATATTATATAACGCTTATTTACTAATTTTCTTATCTTTATATACTAATCTAATAGGAAGTATATATTTTCTTATTTCTTTTTTATTAACATTTTTTTTACAGCGATATCTTGTGTTATTCATTGTGTGATGGTGTTTATTCATTTTTTTGCAATTTTTAGTTTTCTTCTACGGTAATTGGTTTAGCAGTGGTATTGGGAGTGGAATGATTTTTGAAGGACCTTCTCCTGCAGTGACCTTTGATTACTGTGGATATCGACGGGCAACATTCTTGAAAAGTAATCCATTGATCGTTTTACCTCTTGTATCATTCTAGCTAGTTGCAATAAAAAGAGAGAATATAAAGTAGTAAAGAAAAATAAAAAAAAAATTAAAATTAAAATTTAATTTTTTTTTACCCGGAGGTAGTGGGATGTAACGGTTAAATCCGTTTTCGTTATTTGACCCAGACCCGTTCTCGTTATTTTGAAACCAACATCTCTACACAAACGTCAACTGTCGTTTATGCATTGTGTCAAAACTTGGATTGTCATTTTCGATCTATCTCTGTCAACAGCAAGTTAATTATAGAATTTTAATTATCTATTATCTTAGACATCCGATGTACTAGTTATCTTAAATATTTTTAATGACCATCTGATTTTAAAAAGGTAAGTTTCCTACCGATATTTTGTTGAAAATATATATTTAGTACAAGAAATGACAAATTTGAAACATAACCTCTACACCTCAACAGATTGAAAAACATAAGACATCACATAGAAGTTATATATATGGTTTCAGTAGATTTAGATGGTTCGATAGAAAGTAAATCGAGGATTCAATAGTAGCTGTGTCTGCATGAATTTTGGAAGAACGTACAAGCTGCTTGTTGGGAAATTCAGAAGAACGTAGAATACATCAAGAAGTTAGTTCAACCACCGAGAGGAGTTAACAAGATTTAACACTACTTAGTAAATTCTCACAAGAAGGCCTCTACACTCTCTACAGTC